AGGGGCTCCTGGCATCGCTACTAGGAGCAGGGACGCTACTAGGCTCTAAGAAGCTACTAGGGGCTCCTAGCATCGCTACTCGGAGCAGGGACGCTAGGCTCTTGGCCTTACTACTAGGAGCCAGAAGCTACTAGGGGCTCCTGGCGTCGCTGCTAGGAGCAGGGACGCTACTAGGCTCTTGGCCTTATTACTGGCAGCCAGAAGCTACTAAGGGCTCCTGGCATCGCTACTAGGAGCAGGGACGCTACTAGGCTCTTGGCCTTACTACTAGGAGCAAGAAGCTACTAGGGGCTCCTGACATCGCTATTCGGAGCAGGGACGCTACTAGGCTCTTGGCCTTACTACTAGGAGCCAGAAGCTACTAGGGGCTCCTGGCATCGCCACTAACAGCAGGGACGCTACTAGGCTCTTGGCCTTACTACTAGGAGTACTAGGCTCTTGGCCTAACTACTAGGAGCAAGAAGCTACCAGGGGCTCCTGGCATCGCTACTAGGAGCAGGGACGCTACTAGGCTCTTCGCCTTACTACTAGGAGCAAGAAGCTACTAAGGGCTCCTGGCATCGCTACTAGCTACTAGGCTCTTGGCCTTACTACTGGGAGCAGAAAGCTACTAGGGGCTCCTGGCTACCAGGAGCAGGGACGCTACTAGGCTCTTGGCCTTACTACTAGGAGCCAGAAGCTACTAGGGGCTGGCATCGCTACTCGGAGCAGGGACGCTACTAGGCTCTTGGCCTTACTACTAGGAGCAAGAAGCTACTAGGGGCTCCTGGCATCGCTACTAGTAGCAGCAGGGACCCGACTAGGCTCTTGGCCTTACTACTAGGAGCAGAAGCTACTAGGGGCTCCTGGGATCTACTAGGAGCAGGGACGCTACTAGGCTCTTGGCCTTACTACTAGGAGCCGGAAGCTACTACGCCTCTTGGCATCGGAGCAGGGACGCTACTAGGCTCTTGGCCTTACTACTAGGAGCAAGAAAGCTCCTCTTGGCCTTACTACTGGAGCAGGGACTCTACTAGGCTCTACTAGGAGCAAGAAGCTACTAGGAACAAAGGGCATCGCTACTCGGAGCAGGGACGCTACTAGGCTCTTGGCCTTACTACTAAGAGGCAGAAGGTACTAGGGGCTCCTGGCATCGCTACTAGGAGCAGGGACGCTACTAGGCTCTTGGCCTTACTACTAGGAGCAAGA